AAAAAAAAAAAGCCCTTGACGACTTATCAATTTATAGTAACTGTAATCGATGGCCCTAGAATTATTCTATGATGTGTGAGGCTATACCCAATGTGTGGAATTGGAGTTTACATATGCACCAGCATCCTTGGTGCGTGTGTTTTTAGACGTGTGCATGCATGGAAGAAGCAAGCATCCTTTAAAATGTTTACAATGGTTGTATGCATAATGGGGGAAAAACAGATCAGATGCATCTGTGTAAATTATATATATATATACACACACATATATATACATATATATATATATATAACTGAAATAAAACTGACCCACAAACCATTATAGTTTGTTTAATAAATAAGTCCATTTAAAGCAAATTATTCATCATATGTAGAGTGTAGTACAGTATATACTTCCTATATACTGCTAGCACAAAGCACATACTTTCATGCCGGCATGTTGTCTTACCACAATTCCTGCATGCATTCCCCTGTCCTTTAGGAACACCAGGTCCATCCCTTCAACATTTTTTCTTCTTCCTCGTCTCCTCCGGAGGGCAGACTCCTCTCTGCGCAGGCTTCCGTTTACGATCTGCCCCGTCACAGGGTGGATGAGACCAGCCTGCAGGATTCCTGACAAGTCCATTCCCAGAGAACTCTGCAGGCCGCCTATCCCAGCCATCTTGGGCGTACTGCTGTTGATGGAGTAGGCTGAGCTGCTGGCCGCAGATTGTTCTCTGCAGAGCTCCATGGCAGTCTCTCTCCAGCCGTTAATAGCTGCAGAACTCCTCCCATGGGAAGGCGTGAGATGCTGGACAACGCGGGGTTTAACGTCTGACCGCTCATTGTCAAACTCAAATGGTCTTCTAGGCTTACGCTCATCGTTGGGAAATGCTGGAGGAGCAGTTATTGCCTCCTGCAATAGTAAAGAAGAATATATTAAAGCGGACCTTTACACTCAAAAATCAAATTCTACCAATGCATTCCTCTATGTATGATGATTAATAATATAGACATGTCAGGTGTAAAATGCTGGGATGGTGAAATACTTACACCTGCAGAGCATTCACTTCCTGCTTTGAAAGGGCAAATGACTTCAGTTTGGCACGCACTTTGGAAAGGTTGTGTCTCAAAAGCAGAAAATACAGATGGCGTAGAAGTGCCAGGAAGATGGAGACATGCAAGTAGGCATCCCTGACTTCCAGAGGTCAGAAGATCTCCAGAATAGAGGGAAGTAATGACCGACCTGGCGAATTCCATGCATCATTTTTGTACCCGGTGACAGAAGATAAGAACCATTAGCTCCAGTATGGTCACAATTACATGGAGGAGAAGCAGTTTCACAGTGCTAGCAACATTACAGGCCAGCCCCACATCTTCTTTGTGGAAATATCTGGTTACGGTACCCCAAGGCTCTGCCAAGGAATCAACTGATCCAAAAAGCTGCAAAAATAGGAGCTGCAGTGGCTATGTAGCTAGAAATCTTCCTAGAAGAGTCTTGGCAAAAATGCCAGAAAAAAAAAAAAAAAGGATAGT